AAAGGGAAGCATGACAAGAAGTAAACCCACGGTTCACACTCGGTGTGGCCAGTTTGCTGAGTTCTTGAAGAAAGAGTTGGTGCATCAGATCCTGTTTACTATAAAGTTCATATTTAAACATTCTTTTAGACCTTTCTTTGGGGGATAATACACTTTATATTTTCAAATCTATCCTAGTATTGTTTTAGGTATTGTAAAGCAGCAGAGTTTTAGCTGTTAGGGCAGGTTTTTGAACATTTGAACATTTGCCGACAAAAAGCCAAACCCCAAAAAGGTGAGGTGTACCACACAAACAGATTTCTGTCATAGTTGGGTTTTTAGACTGAGCAGAAGATGTCTTATTTTTATACATTCCTTAAATAACAGATGCTAGAAGCCAGACATTATTTTATTTTATTTACTACAGAGGCATTAATTTAATTCCAGAACAGATGATATGTCAGCAAAAAACCGTGATGAAATCATATCGCAGACGAGATGATGAGTTTTGTTTAAGACAAAATTTTGAACTGAGCCACGTTGGTTTCTTAAAAAGCTGATTCCTGAGAATGAGGCGGATCACTTTTCAGTGTAGGATCTTGCATGGAGCTTTAGTTGTGGACGCCGCTTGCACCTGAAGAGGCGGCATGATGTATGCAACTGTCCCGAGGGACGGGACTGAGCGACGATGAAAGTTGTTGAAGGCAGAAGAGAACGAAGACGAGAACGTTTAGGAAGTGAAACGCTCAGTGTGACATGTGTAACTCCCGTCATCTGCTCAGGTGGATGGGGAATGTTGCTCATGGATGGAAAGAAATGAAAGGAAACTGTACGTAGGGGAAGGCAGATGAGGAAGGATTGGGAAAGTGACTACAGGATTTGGTTGGTTGTTGAGATGAAAACGAGTGAAACGGCAATTTGATGTAATTAAAAGAACAATAAAGATCTGTGTAAGATTTGCAACTGAACCTTTGACTCCATGTCTTTATTATTCACTTTGTTTCAAACATGAACTCGTAGCTGGAGCTTTTAGGAAAAGCACTTATTCGCTTTCCTGCCAAGCTAGACAAGACGATAGAGCGCTTGGATCTGCTGCTAAATATAAAGCTATCCAGTC